TTTTCATAATTGTAATCGAGAGTACTTCCAAAGCTGATTGCATCGATGTAAGTTTAACGAGAAACGGATGAAAATTTCTTTTTCTACGAATTTTTAAAGCTAAGAGAGATAGGTCTGCAAAGCGTACTTATTTGACCCCGTCAAACAAGAAAATTCGTAGAAAATTCTCCAATGGATCATTTTCTACACCCATTAAACCACACGATTTTCAATAGGATGAAAAATCATGTCAATATCCTTTTCTGTCAGTTTCGGGAGGTTTTCATAGTTTTCGTAGCCTTTCAAACGGAAGTGTCAAAATGCCCCTTTTTTCGACTTTTTTCCTTCTCCAGCGCATGCGCATTATTAGGCTCAGTAGATTGAAACACGTAAAGATGTTCTTCTCGACGAGACCTTCCTAACGATGTATCACATGCTGTGATTTGATAAAATGATTCGTGGCAAGACCTTAGAAACCTGGTAACCCTAACCCTAACTCTTTGTGGCAGATGGACATCTGATGACAAAATGCGTCTAAAATGAAAAGTGTAACACGGAATGAAATCAAACCTGCTCCACGAGATGGAGAGAATGCCGTAAGAATCCTGTGAGAATTTCAGAACTCAACTCTCAGGAATAAAGCTTTTAGCAGGTTTGAGATAAAGCCCTAGTTTCAAGGTGGAGTTACAAGTTCAAGTCTTGTGTAGGTGTCATACCCATACCAGAACTTTTTGCTTCGTTCAAAAATGCATGCTTCGCGACGGATTGAGATCATACTTCTCCCCATAGAAAATAATGCACTTTACAATCTACATGCCAGATTTGGGCAGGACTTAGTTAATTCTAAGGTGATTCCCTTAGACGTGAAGATGCTAACCCTAGCCCCTAGCCTAACCCTAACCCTAGATTGCAACCCTAACTAACTGCTGTATCTTAAGGGGTTTCTTAACCTATTGAGCTCTGTAGCGCGTGGGCGTTGAAAAGTAAGAGAGTTTTATACATATTAAAATGTTCCTCTGGCAGAGATCTTCCCAACAATGTCTACTTTAGTGTGGTTTGGTGAGATGAAGCTTGAAAAACTTAAGGAAAACCACTTTGGTGGACCTCCCCTCGTTTTGGACCTCTTCCACTGAGCATGCCCATTAAGGAGTTACAGAGTTTTATACATGTCGAAGTGTTCCTCTTGCACAGACCTTTCTAAGCATGTCTACATCAATGTACTTTGGGAAAATGAAGCATGAGAAACCTTCAGAAAACCAGTTTGGTGGACCTCCCCTCGTTTCTTGACCTATTGAGCTCTGTAGCGCATGCGCGTTGAAAGGTAGGAGAATCTTATACATGTCAAAATGTTCCTCTCGCAGAGACCCTCCCAACCATGTCAACATTAGTGTGGTTTGGTAAAATGAACCTTGACAAACTTGAGAAGAACCACTTTGGTGGACCTCCCCTCGTTTTGGACCTATTCAGCTGAGCATGCCCATTAAGGAGTTACAGAGTTTTATACATATCAAAGTGTTCCTCTTGCAGAGACGTTTCGAAGCATGTGTACATTAATGTACTTTGGGAAAATGAAGCATGAGAAACCTTAAGAAAACCAGTTTGGTGGACCTCCCCTCGTTTCTTGACCTAGTGAGCTCTGTAGCGCATGCGCGTTGAAAGGTAGGAGAATGTTATACATATCGAGATGTTCGCTTCTTGCGACAACAACAAAAACTTCCTCCTCTGTCACTTCTTGTATCTTTGCCTCTGTTTTTTGTTGTGCTTGCTTTTGGGCTTTCGCTGCTTTCAAAGATTCAGCCTCCTTTTTCTCTTTTTTTCCTTTTCTGATAAACACCAAAAAAAAGAGAAGTACTTTTATCTGTGTACCTACAACAAAGTCTTGATACAGTCAGTAATAAAAACAGCTCCTCCTTAGTAAGATAAGGAAATGATAAGTAATCTTCCAGAAATACAAGGAAGCTGTCCTTACAATTCCCACATTACTACACAGAATTTGAAACCTTGAAGCATTATGGAGCTCAAATCAACTGCTTCTGGATTGAAATTGAAATCTGAGGAATCAAACTAAATAGATTGAAGTTACTTCAAATCTACAGCATGTATGCACTCCACATTGTATGAGCTCTCAACACTTCATGACAAAATGTATCTGATCTAGTGCTGTGAGAAAGAAGTTCGTCCCGCGTTTTCCTGAAGGACGCCATTCTCGACCAAGGGGCTGGAAAAATTTCGCGTCTTGTTTACCTTTTCTTAAGTCTTAATTCCCGCACAAAAAACGGTGTTCTCGCCCCAGGCCTTTATATGCCGTGAAGTCCTAGAAGAAGATGCCGTCCTCAAATCTTAAGGTCTCTATTATTAGTGCCAGACCTCCGAAACGCCTTCTTGACTCACCTAAAATCTTCCTGCTGGTAGAAAATCGCGCATTTTGAGGCGCTAATAATGAAGGCTTGATCGCAAGCTAGTCATTCGGTAAGGTACAAATAATTGATATGTAACCAGATGTAAAATAAATTTTAGATCGCAATTGAAAATTATTTAGGCCCTGAAAACAGTTTTATGCCCCTGTGATATATTATAGCTTGCAGGGCTGCAAATAACGGCCGGTGAACGGACAATGTCCGGTCAAAATTGGGTACTGTCCGGACAAATCCTTGGGTGGCCGGACATCTTGTCTGGTTATCTACTGACTCGTTTAAAGAAATTTTAATTTTTAACTTTTTGATAATCACAAGGGACAACAGTCATGTTTCCGGAAAAAAAAAACATTATAAGAGTAGACAAATTAATGGTCGAGAAATTCCCGGCAGTCGCAAATTTCCACGATGTCATCAAGTCCTGTCGCGAGCGCAAATCATCATGTCTTCCGTTATTTTATCTACTTTATTTAAGTGTTCCCAGTCAGTAGAGGGCTTTACCTCTGGCTAGATACCATAATTTACTCTTAAATAAAGTCATTAATTGTTTGACTGATTGAATGATAGGAAAACACCCTCACGAAGAATAATCTTGCTGCATCGACAATACTCCAAGTAGCATTTGTTACAAAGTGCAAAAAGCGAGCAAACGGCCAAAAACCTGGAGAATCCGACCACCCTTAAACTCTAACAAAAATTCACAACTGGGCTCTGAGTTGTACTGAAAACAAAAAAAGGTCAAGATAAAAGAGAGTTTATCTTGATTCGTCTGAATGTAGATATTTTCTGTTATTACTAACCTCTGAATTGCACGGTTCACTCAACATTTTTTTTTATTATCCTGTCTGTTTTAGATGAAGGAAAACATATTTACACTCAAAATATTCCTATCTGTAACGCGTTCAGAATGTACCAGAAAATGACGTGATTGTATCTCAAGCGGCCGACCAGATCATTCAACACACGATCCCATTGTATTACTTGTCACGCAGAGTGTTTAAACACGAATCAAATAGGCCAATAACAGTATGCATATAACAGCATATTTTATTTAAAGTTCAGTTCTAGAACTGATGTGGTGATTTCCAAAGTGTATTATTTAATTATAAGTGATTTTGCCAGATGTAAAGTAAAACGGACAAGTGCGGTTGCGTCTACTCTTGCGTAACCATTCCACATATTCAATGCGAGGGTGCTTCTGGAGTAAAGAGTAGTAAAATTATTAGCTTGTAATGTCTCTTGCCAGACCGACTTGGATTCAGTTGTTTTTTAGTTGTAAAAGGATTACTGTGCAATCTTGGTTCACTATCGCAAGAATTCCGACTGTTGAAATTTGTCCGGCCAAAAAAGGTAGTGTCTGAACAAAAGCATGTTTGACCGGACAACGTGACCGGCGACTGTTCGTTCTTTATTTGCAGCCTTGGGTTGTTCCATGATTAATCGTCAGAGCTCAAAGTGCGTGAGTCACTTTAATAGTAAAAAAAAAAACTACGCACTACTTGTTCCAACGAACGCCTGTTGGTTGGCGTGGCGCTGTCCGTTGGTAAGGCCGAACAATGCCGCACGCTTTTATTTTAATTTTACTAAACATATTCGATAGGTCGTGATAGAAATAGGGTCATTTTTTATTTTTTGTTAAGCGCTCGTAGATGTCGGACTTCTCAGTTTTTCTGTCGTTGTGGTTTCACTTTTTTTGCGTTTAAAACACAGTTTCGTCTCGTCGAAACACATTTTTGGTCCTTCCAGCTGGATTTAGTACGGTCGTTTCTTTCGAATGGCGTTGAAAGGCGGAGTCGATGGCGGATTCAAAACGCACTTGGAAATCGATAAAGTAGAAATCGAAACATGGACTTCGAGGCAAATCGAATATCTTCTTCGAAGAAGGGCAGCGTTCAAAGGAGTCGTAACCAAAAATTCAAAGAAAGCTAAGGACAATATTAGCACTAACGGTAGCAAAACGGTGCTTCGAAATTTAAAGGAAAGAATTCGTCAAGTATTACAAGATGCGAGCAAAATAACGGAAGACGTAATTGCCTTACAAAGCCATCATGTGACTAAACGAGCAGAGTCAGAAGAATGGTTAGATAATTTGCGAGACGAAGCGGAGGACATCGTCGACTCTATTGGAGAGTATTTAGAAAGCTGTACAGATGAATCGTCACGCGCAAGCGAAGAATCTTCCGGGACCACTGATGTAGTTAGCGAAGTTGACGACAAAGGAAGTCAGACTTCGGAATCGTCCGAGGATTCGAAAGGGGTTAAATCAACACAGAAGTTCATCAAATTATTGTCAACTTCGGTACAGTCCAAAGGGAAAAAGTCAACTCTTAAACTCGACTTTAAAGACTTTGACCCGGAAGAAACTGAAGGAAATGAAGAAAACGAACCAAACGAAGACGCACTCGACTCGAGAGATTTTGTTTAAAGGAATTAAGAAACCCGCTTTAACCGTCTTCAGTGGAGATAAAGACCTTTATCACGATTGGAAAGCTCAATTTCAAATATTTGTGGATCGGACGAAAGTCCCAGCTAAAACGAAGATGATGATGAAAAAAAATTCCCTAACTGGCAAGCCATTACGAGTTGTAGAGCGGTTAGGCTACACATCTAAACAATACCAAACTGCCCTGCAGAAACTTGATCAGAAGTATGGAGGTGAAGAACGACTTCTGCAACGTTACCTCGAGGCCATTTTGCGCGCGTGTCCTGTCCAGGAGAGTCAGAGTTGTGCGTGTTAGAATAGGAGGTAAAGATTACGTGCGACCGATCACGAAATTGTGCCCATTAGAGATCTGAAGAGGAACAGTACACAGTCCTGTTCGAGGGGGAGGATGTTCCAACGAACGACTGTTGATTGGCGTGGCGCTGTCCGTTGGGAAGGCCGAACAATGCCGCACGCTTTTATTTTAATTTTACTAAATATATTCGATAGGTCGTAATAGAAATAGGGTAATTTTTTATTTTTTGTTAAGCGCTCGCAGATGTCGGACTGATGAGTTTTCCTGTGTCGCTTTTTTCGTTTAAAACACAATTTCGTCTCGTCGAACAATACTCGTAGCTTTTTCCGCTCATCACTACGTGTCATTCCTTCTTCTAGCGATCTCACTTTATTTTCAAGAGCTGGTACAACTTGGCTTTCATATCTTTGAATTTCAGTTTGCAATCGTGAAGTCGTCTCGTGCGCAGCAGAAAGTTCATCTTTTAGTTCATTAACTTTTCCATCCATAGAAGCAAGGCGCGTTTTCGTCTCATCAAGCTCAATCGTTGACGCGCTTCGCACATTACACATTTCTTTACTCGCCTCTTCAACAGCTTTTTCTTTTTCTAACACATTTCTCTTCTCATTGTCCAGCTTTGTTTGTAAACAGGCATTCCTAAGCTGCTTAGAATTTAACTTCCCCTCCAAAGACTGAATGCGCCCGTCTTTCTTCTTCGCTTCTTCTTTTTCTGCTTCGATTTCTGCCCTTGCTTCTTGTAGTTCTTTAAGAAATTTGGCGGATTTCTTATCGTTCTCTCTCTTTAACTTGTCAAGCTCCATCCTGGTTTCTTCAAGTGTCCCGTCCATTTTAGCCATCATTTCCTTAGTCTCTTCTCTCTCTTTATAAGCTTGGACGAGTCGTCTTCTTAACGTTTTCAATTCTTCCTTAGTTCTCAGATTAGCCTCCTTGGGTAGCTTTTGCATTTCGGACAGAAGCTTTTCTTTCTCTCCTAAGGATATTTCAAGGCGTTTAATGGTGTTATTTCTGGCAATAACTTGCCTTTTTTTCTTGTCCAGAGCTCTTGTAGACTCTTCCAACTGTTTTTCCAATTCTTTCAAACTATCGTCATCATAAAATTTCATAATTTCTTTATTACACTCTGCCAACTCTATTTCCAGCTCATTTGTACTTCTCCTGCTCTCATTCTTGACACTCTCCAATTCTGCATCTTTCTCCCAGATTTCTTGTTTCTATTCCTAGGTTGTCTTGAGCACTTTCTTTGTTTAAGTCTACAGAACCATCTGCCTGATAAAGTTCGCATTCTTTCTTGGTAAAAACTGCGATCTGTTCTTCAAGGGCTTTCTTGGCACTCTTCAATTCCGCAGTCGTATTTAAATTCTCCTCTTGAATGTTCTTCAGTTCCGTCTGCTTTTCTGTAACTTGTTTTCTTATGTCATCCAATGCAGCCATTTTATCACAAATATTTCTGAGCAATTAAAACACACTACAAACAAGCTAGGCCCTCTGTGTCAGGGATCAAAGGGGCAATTCACACCCCAGCCCCTTGTGATGATACCCTCACAGAGGTTGATGAAGATATATAGAAGGGAAAAGTGTCAAAAGAATCCATGTAAGAACATAGAGTTGTAGATCTCTATAAATATAAAGGTTGTGGAGGATACTTTTCTACAAGTAGATGACATGTATTATTTTTCAATCGATGTCTTTTGAACTATTTGTGATTTCTAAATTAATAATTTTGAGAGAAATTGCATGATATGTTCACCTCGCACCTGCTAACTCTTGCTACGTGAGGATGATCAACATCTACAACTCGCAGAACCTTAATGCTGAAGATACAGTGACTGAAGATTGAAAGAATTACTTTGTTAGTAATACTGGTATGCAATGATAATATCCACTTCCATGTGTCATCATTATCATCACTACTATTACAAACACCATCATCATCATCATCACCTCACCATGCTAGTTGGCAACAAATATGCCATAGAATGGACCAAAAAAGACCCTAATGTAACTCAGAATAAAAATTTGTTGTTTTTACCTATGACTGGAACATTGGTTTAACTTTGTGGAAGCGATTCTTTGATTTTTCTGGTCAATCTTAAGAATCTATACACGAAACAAAAAGTTGCTTAATATCACATGTCACCCCTCTGGGCAAGTAAACAAGCCATATTTGAATTATTGATAATTATGAGCAGGTAACCAGTCGGGAAAACAGAAGGTGGAGAGAAAGAAGGATGGAAGCATATCTTACCTTGTAGGCTTCATAAGCATTGGAGACATAAATTTCTCTCAATCCTTTATTAATAAATGTATATAGGCATAATGAACAATATGCCTTAAATTTCCCACTTTATGAGATCATTATCATTATTAATAGCATTATTTATTTACTGCTAATGATATTTTAAGTTACAATAAATTAACAAAAACATATTGGAAGAGAAAAGTCGGATATTGGTAATTTAGTCCTCCTCAATTGTCACATCCTTGTCAACTGATGATCCGTTTGACAGGTCTAGCTGAGTGTGCAATTTTGTTAAAAGCTTGAACATTAAAACAAATTAGTTCTGAAAGTGAGAAACCATAGATAGCTGTGACAGATTGTCAAGCACAAGGTCCTTGTTGTTTCTGAAGACAGAAAACACAAATCTACCAAGGTATATTAAAAACTACTAGCTTGCATCTCAAAGTCTGTATGTTTCAAATGTAATAAATAAAGCATATTGTTTGCAAGGAAGAGGCCAAAGGAAAACAAAATGAGGCATACAGTCCCGTACAAGCTAAAGGGAGCATGACAGCCACCTATTTTATACCATGCAAATTTGTTAAAATAATAAAATAAACTAATTTATTAACCATTTCTAAGAAATTAATAAAGCAACAAGGCTATCTCAAAGGTTTGACTTTGGTCTTTAATCAGCACATACCTTTGATATAGGGATTCCCGTTTGAGTCATCACCTAGTCTGAGTGTTGTTCTTTTTTTACATTCCCCTGTAGGACATGGCTCCAACAGATCAATGATTGTTTCATTGTAGATTTCGGCGAAAGAAACCCAAACAGAGAATTGAACTGGTCCTTGTGTATCTACATTGATTGTGGCGTCATTTGCAACCCTGGAGACATTCTCCTCATTATCAATGGAAGACTCTAAAAATCGAATTTAGAGAAAATAATGATGAACTTCTTCTCTTGGGAAAGGTCTTTAGCAAACCCTCGCATAAACAAGGCTTTGAGGTGAATTTTCACAACAAATTATACTCATGTACAAGTGCTCAGACTGTTACAACTGAGGTAAACTTGCATTCAATCTAGTTCAAATGTTGCTTGCCTTCATTTCCTCCATCCTGGCTATGCAGAGCCGAGTCATCAATGCAACTGAATTTTGACAAATCGGCTGTAGAGTCTTGGTCCAGTTTGAGAAATGCATTTATGTCAAAAGTCTGAAAGAACAATGCAATGCACTGCTTATTCAGATAAATATCTTGTAATACCATAGCGACGTCTATAAGCTTCTCATCTCAAAAAGTATCCTACTTTCAAAACAAACTCTGTTGTATGCCTCTCTCCATCCAGGAGTATAAATGGGATTTGAGGAAATGGTAAGGAAATCTAATAAAACGGTGCGGGTTAGTGGTGATGGGAAAAGAAAAACAAAAACAAAACAAAAACAAAACAAAAACCCCTCCCGTCTGGACAGAGTAGCAAAGCTGGTTGTGTCATGCTACAGGAACTGAAAGAGTAAAACTTTACTACTCAAACCCATAATCATTCTGTCAGTATGGTATATAGTTACTTCACCAACTTACTCACCCGCACTTTAGTCTGCTCTGCATGTAAAAACACACTTGGCACCCATTCCTCATCGTCCTCTTCTGCTCTTTCTATCCGGGCCCTTTTTCTAGACTTCTTGACCGACTGCGTGAGCAGTTCGATCCTGCGATCAAACTTTTCCTCTACAGCGTTTACCTCCATTTTAACACGTTCACTGAGATTTGAGAACAAATTGCTCGGTTTCTACTCTGTTCTGTTATTGGGACACCTTTAATAACTGACTGAAAGTTAACACACAGCTCAGCTGAAACACACATTCGAATTTCACTTCTATACGTTCAAGTACGTCACGTCTTGCTAATACGCGCGCTTTACAGGTTCGGCTGATACTAGGGAGAAGTGATATTAACACATTTTCATTCTTTGTTACCTGTAGGCTTCCTTGATGGGAACAAGCTGTTCAGCCCTTTCCTTGCAAACCTCTTTTGGTATCTTTATTTCCAGAGTCTGCATCTTGCGTTTCTCTTTAATCATTTGTTCTTGGAGAACTTTAACTAAGTCCACAAGTTGCTAAATCTGAGAAAATTGATACAAAAGTAAGATATGCCAGCATAACAGACTCTAACCCCATCTGATCTTAAAAAACATCCTCCTTTTTTACTTCACTAGTTTTTCACTTAATGTTTTTGTGCCTTTTTGGCAGCTTGACATCAGCAATTAGAGTAACCTCAAGGAGGAAAACAAATTGTTAAGAGACTAAGCCAAGAGGACTCGAGACAAGTCAGGGGAAGATTAGTGGTGGGTCTGGGACTTGTAATATTTGATAGTGTATTCTGATAGTGCAGGTGAGGTTAGTCCAGAGCAAAAGTCATCATTAAAGTGGACATTTGTTGACAGTCCAATGTTCTAAGTCCTGTTTTTATAAACTGATTATTCAGATTTGTCAAGAAGTTATTGGGGGTAAGACTCGACAGGCATAAGTTGGTTGTGATTGGTCAGTTTCGATCTGTTGGTAAAGTTAGGTTATTCTGTTTTATTGGTTTTTAATGTTCATGTTGTGAATAAGTCATTCGAATGGTGCCAGAAGTAGGAGACACCTGTTGATGGGAGTCTGTATGAAGTTAGTTAATAATTAGTAGACTTACACTTAAAAACTTATAATTAGTAACAATGTCATTGTTAGACTCCAACAAGACCTCCTGCATCGCTCTTGTTGTTCACAGCCTCATACCTTACCGCTAGCAAAGAAATGCTTGTGCCAAAGCCATAATGATAAAGGCCTGTTCAGAGGCTATGAATGACAAACCTGCTGGTAAGGGTTGGGTTCCATTATGACACTTTCCTCCTCTATATCTTCATAAACATCTGTGAGGGTATCATCACAAGGTGCTGGGGTGTGAAGAGCCCCTTTGATCCATGGAACGGAGGGCCTAACTGGTTTGGAGCGTGGTGTAGCTGCCAAGGCACAGGCCTTCTTTGCTGGGGGAGGTAAATCCACCGGTTTGGTGGTCACCTGACATTAAACATGGAGAGAATTAGACATCAATAACTGTATACTGAAAGATTTGGCTTTTAATTATTAACTTTCTACACTAAATTCTCCAATCAATGATATATGTCAGGTAACATCCAGCACGTCAAGACGAGAAATATCTACATATTTTCTCACCTTTTTGGCGATAGCTGAAAACCTCATGACATGGAATGTTTCATCAAACATGGAAGCGCACATGTTAACATTGACAATCATAGCAGCCCTTCCCTTTCCACAGAAAAATCCCTGGAACAGTCTTGTCTGTTTACTTTCACGGAATGGGATGATAAGGGTTTGATTCCTATAAAAATAAATTAAAAGTTTCGCTTGAGGTAAAAGATGACAGTTTTTTTTTAATGAAAACATAAAGTACAGTATGATTGACATTTATTCTAAAGCTGAAAACTACTATGAACATGGATTTGCAGTCTGCTGGACAACTTATACTTACGGGTTTTTCTGATTGTAACGTAAAAATTCCAGGCATTTTCCCAAAATCATCAAGGAGGTGTTGATGTTACCAGCTTCTTTGAGTCTGTCTCCCTTGCTCAGGGTTTTTGAGTAGCGCTCAGATTCTGCTAAGTCCCCAAATGAAAGTCTGCAGAAAAAAAATTATGTTAATTGTAACTGCTTTAAGTGGAGCGTTATCCAATTCTGTCATGGTTTAGCCAAACTCCTTCTTCATCAATTCGAGTCGAGATTCTTTTTCTTTGCACTCGCCTTTGATAGCTTCCACTTCAGCTTTGGCATAACTAATCTCTTGAGTAGCTGCCTCAAGTTTCTTCGTTAAAGCAGCCACCTC